CGGGGGCCGGGGCTGTCCGCTTAGGTAGGCGCCTTGCACGGGCAGGGACGCCAGCGCCTGTGTTGCAGCATGAGGGCAGCACAGAAGTTCCCTTCTTCCCTTTATCTTGTGTTGTCCCGCACGTTCCTAATGCCTGGTCCTGCTTTCAGTGTTACTCATGCTCTCCTCCCCTTTGCCGTGCTGTGTCCGCTTTTTTCTGTTTCCCTAACATTGTTATTTTGGTGGTTATTTAACGTTTCACTGATTCCACTGCCCCAGGTTCTCGTACCCTCTTCTCGTAGAAGCAGCCCGTGGTGCTGGTGTTTCCACGTTGATGCTGCTCAAAACCAGAGAGAGGCAGGGGATGCCGTAAGGTGACGCTCAGCAAGCTAACTTTGGTCTCAGCTATGGTATAGCAAAAGCATTTTCCCTCTTCGCCCACGGGGAGGGATGCGAGCACGAATGCCGGTTTCCTAACATAACACTAGTTTTGAGTCAGGTTACGGCGAGCTGGGGCGGGGAGGCTTATGCTAACTGTCTTCAGGTGCCCAAGGAACAGATGTTGAGCTAAATGTGGTTCGGTTCTAAAGAAGACTCAAATGATGACCTGTGGGAATATTCCCTTGTAGGCAAGGCTCTGCAGAATTAGGATTAAAGTCTGCGCGGCTCCAGCTTTTGGGAGATGTCTACAAAACGAGCTCTGGACAAGGCCGTGGAAGAAGGAAGACGCTCGCCCACCCTGGTGTTTTGGTACATGGCAGTGTTTGCAGTCACAAAACTGGCGAGTTAATGGTGTTAATCGTTTTCTTGGGAGCCAGCGAGAGCCAGCTCTGTGTCTGTGCCATTTGGCCCCTGCTGCTGCGGTCCGACAGAAGGCTGCGGCTGAGAAAACGGAAGAGTTCAAACTGGTCTACAGGTTTCCGGGGATTAAGTACTGCAGGGTGCTGTCCCGACTGAAGCTGCTGCAGACTGCCACCACCGTGGTCGCGCTGCCGCCCATCTGCTACCTCTATCTGCAAGAGCAGGTTTCTCAGAATATCCTCGTGTATACAACTGGCATCGCGCTCTTTGCTGGTGCGATGTTGTACGGTATGAGCTACTTCTTCAGAAGAATTATTGGATTAATCTACTTAAATGAAACCGGCCGTACTGTCAGAGTGGCCCACTTGACGTTCTGGGGAGGACGGAATGACGTTTACTGTCCCATAGAGACAGTGATGACTTTGGATGAAGTTGGAGATAGCAAGGGGGAGCTGCTTCTCCAGTTCAAACGGTATAATAGCGCAGATGTGTTATATTTTACGATCAAGTTTGGCCAGATTGTAGACAGACAGAAGTTTACTCAAATATTTGGAAAACTGGAGTGATACAGCCAGTAATTTCCAGTGACTTTCCTTGTTGCGTCTTCATTGTGCTTACTGTTCTGTGAAGTTTCATTAGTTTACCGAACTGACATACTTGTGTCATTTTCCTGTGCAAAGCCCGCTGGTAGGTGCACTCAGTGTGAAATCCACAGGATTAAATGTCTTTGCAGTGTGTTCAGGGCGTGAGCAGTGTCTCTTCTATGCTGGATACGGTGGTGCGCACAGTCGGTCACCAGCAGTTGTACGTCTGAGCCGTCCTGCTTGGGACGTGCAGTAGGAGGCCGAATTACTGGTGCTGACCCTGACTGTTTCAGCTGGCCTCTTAGATTGTTTTTAAACAGGAAAAAACACTTGAAGTGAAAGGCAGTAACTCTGCCAGAGCATCCTTACTTTAAATTCATTGTGATTTTAGCAAATGTTGGGTTGACTGGGAAGCCTCTTGAAATTAAAACTTGTCTCGTACATACATATGATAAATAACGCTGGATGTCAGAGGCACGCTCAGGCAGTAATGAAATGGAGGTACCTGGAAAGAGCGGCGTGTAACGCTGCGTAAGGTGTGCAGGGGCTCTTGGCAGGGTCTTCAGGGTGTGAACATAGCTGGGCAAAACAAGGGTGCATGTTGGAAGCCACGTTGATGGTTCAGCTGTTAAGACTGGGGCAGCATTTCAGGAGCTTCTCCGAGAAATTGCTTTCCCATTGGAGTAAAGCAAAAACATGCCTGGACTGCGATGCTGTGAATTACAGGCACAGCCTGTGATCCTTTGCTCAGCTGGGATCCTCATCATCATCTGAAAATTTGGAACTACTTGTCCTTCTTCGTATGTGTTCACGTTTGTTTTGTATGTGTGAATGACATTTAATCAGTGCTGTAACACCTGAGTTGCAAAAACTTCAGTAAACGTTACCAGAATCTTCTTAGACTGTGTGAATTAAGCAGTCGTCTGTGAAGATTGCCACACAGCCTGGGAACAAGTCGTCTGTATCCCTTGATGTGCTGACTGATTTGGGCGTATTTTACCATCAGAGGCTCCATTGCCAAGTACCCTTTCCACCCCCAACTCCCCCAGTCTGGGTCTACCCAAAATGAAAAGAAAAAAGGTAAGACACCCGAAAGCCGTGTCAAATTAAGGCTGAAAATACGGGTACTTTGTATTCTGTTGAACTTGCAGGGTTGATCACCTCAGCACCTGTGTCCGTGAAGGACGGTGGTCTTACTCTGTGGTGTTAGTATGGTTCCTCCTTTTCCAACCCCAAAACCTCCGCAGGAATGAGGAGCAGGATTTAAACCCAAGAAAGAATCAAACCTGATGACTTGTAACATGTAGAACGTTTTTTGAATTGTCAGAAGCAAGTTAGGGCCTTACGCCGCTCTTCGGGCTGCTATTTCATTGGAAACAATGGCAAATAAAGTGGCCCTCGCCAACAGAGAAACGGGGAGTGTTCTTTTCCCGGTTTCTTCCTCTCACGTATTGAAACCTCTGTCTCTGGGTGGATCGGCAGATGCAGGTAAGTAAAATTGCCCTTTAAGTCCATGGGGTAACCCTGATTTATTATTTATTTGTGTTGAACTTTTCCTAATGGGGGCTCCATTATTTTAAATTTTGGCTGATGCCGTGTGGTACAGCAGTATCAAAAGGAAAAGAGAAATGCTCCTTGGCTTAAACACCACGGCAGCAGACTACAGGGGGCCGTATGCACACAGCGTGGTTTTTGGAGGCTTATCTTCGCAAGAACGTATTTAATACGCACTAATGATTCAGGTTGGTGCTAGGTGTAAAATAAAAAGCCCTGGAGAAGTTCAATTATAAATATTTTATTTAAGAATATTGATTACACATGAGATGTCATTTTTTATGAATCTGTGTACAGTTACTAGTTACACCATGAAGTGTAGGTAAGGATTTGTTTAAACATTTATTTGGCACTGTCCACAGTATGCTGTAAACAATATTAACTTCATATGCTTCAGCTGCAGTGCTTTCTATGTATTCTCTACCATGATTTCATCAACATGTTGTACACAATTATACAGTTACTGAGTGTCAGTAAAAATTATAAAAACACCTAGAGTATTCATAATAAAAGTGAAGATGTGGTAAGACTTCAAATTACTGGACCTTTGCTTCTGTAAAAGTACAAGACTTGCTAGAGACATTTACTAAAACTACGGCACTGATATGTTGAACAGCCCAATTCCCAAAATGCCGTCAAATACAGTTCCTGCTTTGCCTTTCCTCTTGCTGACAATACGCTCACGAGGACAGCGATGACCGTGAGGTTTTGTTGAACACCAATTCACCAGTCCTTCCCCCAGGTTTCTACAACCTCTGCTCAAAAACCTGCTCAGCTTCTGACCAGCTGGAACCAGAATTCTGGTTTCTGCAGAGAGGCGTACAGAAATCCCGTTATTTTTCAGCTAGCAGAAGTGAGTGTACTTGAGTTTCCCAATACCAGCACTCAAAAAAAATAAAATGGGAAAACCGTGATTAACGCTTCTCAAAGCAGGTAAGA